AAGTGAACTTATTTAGCGAGATTATCTTAGGTTTGCAGCGATAAATACGCAGTTAGTAAAGAAAAATGTTAGAAAACACAAAAAGCGAAAACACAACCGGAAGCAGTATGTTACTGATTTTAGGTATATTTGCTCCGTTTGGATTTGTTTCGTACATTGTAACTATTGTGCCTTCTACCGTCACCTCAACCTGTGTGCAGGTTGTTCCCGCCACTATTGAAGTATTATATCGCGCAAGGGTTGTTATTTCAAAGCCTTGATCTTTGATATCCTTCAGTGAAATTGTGTTGTCAAATCCATGCAGTTTCACCATTGTTCCATCATTGTACTTGACCGTGGTGTTCAATTCGACCAAGTTCTCGTCAATTCCTTCTTCTAGCGTTCTGTTTCCCGCCAATTCTCCCAGGCAGAGTTCTCCCTGATCGTTCAGCAGCTTCTCTTCCTCATGTGAAAGCCTCACAGCTCTATTCGTTGGAATGGCGACATAACTTCGGTACATTGGATATCCAGACCGATATACTGGAGCATTGCTAAACATATAGCGACGCACCAGGTAAGCGGCAACAACTTTCTTGAATGTTCCTGAGCGTGATCCCAGCCTGGTTTGCTTGACGATCACCGGAGACCGTACTGAGGTGGCTGGAATCGGTGTGTATTTAGTGATTTTAGGTTTCGAGCTCGATCCTGATGAAACTGATCTAGTGCGTGATCGATTTCTGGAGCGTCCCGCTCGAGAACTTCCTCTGACACCTCTTGCAGTCTGGGATAGTTCCACCATCATAAGAATGACGAGTAGAACAAGGAACAGTGCGGAGACTCGCATTTTTTGATGATTCACACGTCTAAATCAAACCTTCCAATGTTTGTCTTTTGTAGTCCAAGTTGTTATCTGTGTTACGCAACAGTTAATACTTTGATTCGTGACTTCAGACATGACCCCCTCTTTGAACTTTGATGTCACTGGCACAATTTTATGGATAAGACAAACAAGGGTACACGTACATTCGGTTTTTTTTCCTGCAAGATCCAATGAGCTTACAAGAACGACTTTCTTGTCCTCCAGTTTCATAGCTTCGAATGAAGCAGAAAAATAAAAGCAAGAAACCCTCGAAACTTTAGCTGATAGTGTCTCAATTCAATAAAGAAAAAGATGCCGCATATGTAACACCAACAGATCACATTCTCTTGGTAACACCCAATCTCCCCACTCCCCCTACCCCGGTTCCCACTCGTCTCCTGTATTTCTACCACACTGAATCTGTTTACCAATCGCCCAATTACAGACTGATTTAGAGTTTTTTTTTTTTTTCTTATTTAGAAGAATTACTCAGTTAACAAATTAATTTTTTTCATGAGTTTCAGGAGCCCATAAGGCAATCGGCTCCTGGCCCGCTATCCACAGAAGAAATCACTATCCAGTGGATAGAGTGGTTTGTTTTGTTAGCACTTATCCAGCCTTCGAACAACCTGCACGGTCTGTGTTTTTTTTTTTTTTCTTTTTTTTCTTTTTTGGCCGCGTTTTCCTTAGTTTAATGCGGGGACTGGGATTTAGAAGGAATGGCTACCAAGTTCATACGCCGCCATCTTTTTTTCAATCTTCGTTGTCCAATTTTGTCTCACAGTATGACCATCAAGAATACGGTGACTGCTCTTACCAGAGAAGAGATTATCTCACTTCTGATTCAAGCTGCTATTTGGGCTATGATAGCCGTAGCTATCTCTGTCATAACTCTGGCGATAGCAGTGATTTTCCTTCGATGGTATGTGCGTAAAAGATCACGGAATGCGCTGCCACATCTTCGGGCTGTGCGAGGCAAGAGAAGAGATTTTCGGCCTGTTGTTGTTGGATTTTTTCACCCTTACTGCAACGCAGGAGGTGGAGGAGAGAGAGTGCTTTGGACAGGCATTCGAGCTCTCCAAAATCGTTATGATTTTGTTCGTTGTGTTGTGTATACAGGAGACCCGCATGTTAGTGGAGAAGAAATCCTTCGAAAAGCCAGGCAACGTTTCAACATATCTTTGCCCCAGCCGGTTGAATTTGTCTTTTTAAAGAAAAGGCGCTGGGTTGAAGCGAGTATGTATCCATACTTCACACTCCTGGGACAAAGCTTAGGATCAATGTTGCTGGGCTGGGAAGCTCTGAACTCTTACTTGCCAGACATTTTCCTGGACACTATGGGTTATGCCTTCACTTTGCCTCTGTTTCGCTATCTTGGTGGCTGTCAGGTTGGTTGCTATGTTCACTATCCAACCATCAGTACTGACATGTTGTCGCGTGTCGGGGGCCAAACAGTTTCATACAACAATGCTTCATTCATCAGTAATAGTCGCATTCTAAGCACGGTCAAGTTACTTTATTATTACTTGTTTGCAGTAATATATGGTCTGGCTGGGTCTTGTGCTCAAGTTGTCATGGTGAATTCAACTTGGACATATGGCCACATCTTGTCGTTATGGAGGAAGAAGAACCAGACATCCATAGTTTATCCACCTTGCGACACTCGGGCGTTCTTAGAATTGCCAATAAAGGTTGGTAGTGCAGACATCGATGAAGATGACGATGACATTGTCCACTCCGTAGTATCTGTTGGACAGTTCAGACCAGAGAAAGATCACCCACTCCAACTACGATCTTTTCATGAGTTCCTCAAATGCAAAATGGCAAAAGACCGACACAAGTACAAACTAATTCTTGTTGGGAGCTGCCGTAATCAAGAAGACACAGACAGAGTAGATTCTCTGAAACAGTTGGCATCAAAGCTTGGAATTAAAAGCAATGTGGAGTTTGCTTTGAATGTTTCCTTTGAGAAACTCAAGTCTTACCTTGCAGAAGCAACCATCGGTCTCCACACAATGTGGAATGAACATTTTGGGATTGGCGTTGTGGAATGCATGGCCAGTGGTGCTATTGTTTTGGCTCATGACTCGGGGGGGCCTAGAATGGACATTGTCATTGAATGGGAAGGAAAGCCAACCGGGTTTTTGGCAAGTGATGAGAAAAGCTATTCTGCTGCCATGGAGACGATCTTTGCACTCTCACCAGAGGAGAGAAGTGTCATATGCCACAATGCAAGGGACAGTGTCAACAGATTTTCAGAGAAAGCTTTTGAAAATGGATTTCTTCAATGTACTGAGCCCTTGTTCATGAGTGTGTGAGTTCAAATACAACACTTTTATCCATAATACTAATGTTCAGGACATTGAGGAATATTGCATTTACAAAGGATTCTTCAAATTATTATTATTATTGTGTGTTAAGCCCATGATACATGGAAGTTCAGAGAGGCATCCCATTATCAGGAAGAACTGTCATGGGGCGGCATGGCACAAGCACAAGTACATTATACTCTATCAACCTCTTACTGCAATCAAGACTGCGATTAGAAACAGATTTTAGGAAAAAAATTCTTGATTCTAGTTTGGTGAAATAAATAATTATTAAAAAGCATGGCAGAAATTCAGTAGTGCTATAATCAAACGATTTATCAGGGTTCCTTAGTCAAGAGCTAGCTTTAGGTTCCAAGTTGCTAGTCTCTAGGTTTGGCTGAAAGAGTTAAATTGTTACAAAATGGTTAGAGTAATTTTCGAGAATTGAAATCAATAAAACTTTAGTTTTGGGATGTATCTGTGTAGTTCTCAGCCATCACTGTACACATCTATGTAGATGTACAGTCGGGTCCTGAAATGAGTTAGGAACAGCCACAGGGCGGGATTAGGGATAAGCTCCTAACCCTCAAAAATGCCCTGTCAGGCTCGTGGCCCTTTCAGGCTCTCCTGACCAAGCTCTGCCAGAAGCATGCCCATTGTAGGACTGCTTTGACAGATCTTGGAGGTGCAAGGGCAAGTTTCAGGGGCCCAAAAACCAGCTTGCTTAGGGTAGATGGGGCTTGTAGCCTGGGTGGGCAGCCCATCTAAGAGAAGGAAAATGTTGATTCTAAACCCGGATAGATGGCCACCCATTAGCCATAGCTGGCAACCATCTAGGGGAAGGAGAACTCTAACAGAAAACCTACTGGCCCTCAAGGTTGGGATTGGGCAGAGCACTAATATCCCCCTCCTGTCAGAAAGCATTTATTACAGGAACTGAAACCAGACAAAGTAGTTGAGTGATATTTGTATGGAACCGCTTAGCATAACACTCACTCCTACCAACGAACAACTTGTTTTCAATGCCACTTACATGCATTTGTCTCAAAATAATATTAATATGCAACAAGATGCAGAATATTCTGCAAGTTATAATTACGTACAATTATTACATGGCTTGTTCTTGAAGCTGATATAATGCACAATTTGATTGGCTAATTGTGGGGCATTATTCTCCCGTAAAGCACATGGGGCCAATCATGGGCTTGCAAAAACAAAGCAAAAAGCCATATAATAAACAACTTATTAACCTCAAACGTTTGGTCTTGACTGGAAAATCTCAAACCTCGGCTTTGCCCTATTGACTTCACTATAGCTCGGTCAAGGTCTTGATTTGAGATGATTATTTGAAATTATTATTTGGTTTGAGATTTTCCATGAAAACTCCACTCTCAGGTAATAAGTTGTTAGAAGATGCAAAGGTCATTTTGATACTGTTGTGAGGATGAACCATCACTCAGAGTGTAACAAATCCAATCAGCCAGCTGACCAATCAGAGTTTTCAAGAGTTTTTTTATTATTATTTTAGAACATTAGTTTTTGCTCCTTTGGTTCAGAGTTACTTCATTGCTGTTGTAAGTCAAATAACACTTTGGCTGCCACTCAGTTCAGAATTATTTTGCCAGGTTCAGGCTAGCCCTAGACAAAATCAGTTTTGTTGAATGCGTTCAGACTGCTAATTAAATTTGTCCCCCCATAATTATTGCAGCTGGATTCAGATTTTTTTATTTATCGGATTCAGAGTAACTGCTGCTCAGCTGTTACAGTTTTCTTTATTTAATAGTAAACAGTTCAGAATTTGTTTTGTGATAGTTACTTTTGTTGACCAGTTTAGCTGACATTTCTATTATTTTTCCCAAACTCAGTTCTTGGAATTTCAACTTACAATGCTTTCAGTGCCGTGGAAGAAAATGAAATCCCGATTATCTTGTTTGACGGCATCAGAAAATTTCCCACTTATCGCACCAGTTATGAGGATGTCCATTTCACAAAGAAGTTAGCGTGAAATTCATGTGTCACGAAAAGGGCACTACATGTACCTCCCCTGAGGTCTTAAAATAACATTTAACTTATAAAACAGAGATAATTGTAATATGATTAATAGTTGTACATCAATTGATAATTATCTTTACCATTAATAGTTATTTTTAAGGTTCTTTCTTGTACATCATGTAAATATGTATTGTAATTATATAATTTTGAGATAACAATGAAATAATTATTTCATGTGTAAAACTTTGTCATTTAAGTCTTGACTTTTAAACAACTTCCCATGCAAACTTTTCTCTGTCTGGAAGAAGAAAGAAAACACACACAAAGAAAACAGTCAGTCATCAGTCAGAGATATTGACCAGGTGGATTTTCATTATACAATGAAACTCTTATTAATTGAGACATACCACTGAATGTGGTTGTGCTTTTGCAACTGGTTTTACTACAGCTCAGTAGAATTGCAGTTTCAATAGAGTGAATCCAAAGACAGAAAGTGACTATGATAAAATTGGGACTGAATAATTGTTATTCGCAAGTTCATTGCCTTTGAAGTACATGTAACTGAAAATGGGGACAACGGTTGGCCACAGGATAAACTCCATTACAATATAGGGCAGAGGCTCTGAGACACCACCAGCACATGTAAACAAAAGCTGACCCAAATACACTCACCTCCCCCCTGGGGATTCAGGCACTGGTCAGAGTCCCTTAGAAGTCTTAATTAACCAACAAACTGGAAAAGTGACAGAATACAGCATACTCAAAAGTAGCCTGACATGGGACTAACGTGATTACTAACATTACCCTCCTCTAAATGCTTCAAGATTTAGTTTCTTGTGGCTTGTAGTGAGATGAATTCGTATCTTCTTGTGGCTTCTTGCCCTTACATATTCAACTTCTTGCATTTCCAAAAGTTCTTACGGGTGAACCGCAAAACGCTACATTTTCACTTGCGTGTTCTTCCCCTTGTGTGTTCCTGCAGCACAAGAAAATTTTCTTGTGCCAGTTCTTGTGGGTGCACTATTTTGGGGCTGTACTGTACAAAAATTGGGATAATTAGCTCCTGAGTTTGATATTATCCTTTTTTTTCTATTTTGCTATTATTTGAAAACTTTAAAAAATGAGGTGCCAAAAATTTAGAGAAGAGAGCTACATGCATTTAAGTAAGGAAAATGAAAGCTGTAAAGGGTTGAAATTACCACAGTTTGATAAGTACTCAGCCACTTTCTGTTGACTGTTCGCTTTAGCCATGGTCAGCGCTGTGTTTCCTTTCTTTGATTTCATTCTGAAGTCTGCGCCTTGCAAAACCAAGTACTTAACGCAGGTCAGATGGCCATTTCTTGCGGCAACATGTAGAGGTGTACAACCTGATATGTCAGCAAGCTCAACATCCCCACCATGTTGAATAAGTAACTTTAAGACCTCCAGGTGCCCATTAGCAGATGCCTTGTGAACAGCAGTGGAGCCAGATTCGTCAAACTCTTTTGGACTCTAAAACAGAAGTAAACTTCAAACTAAAAAGACAAGGTTACCCTGTTATATATTAAGTTGGACCAAGGTGGTTGTGTGAAACCATAAAAATGAGTCAAAAACTCTAGCCTGTTTCAGGGAATTATCAGATTGCTGAGATGCTGACCTAAAAAAGTCGAAATACAAGAGATCACCAAATTTTACCTTTTTGGTGTAAAAAAAGTTGTTCAGAGTATAGCACCACCAATTCAACAACAAAAATGCATCATATACCCAAACAAAATTCAACAAAAACACCAAGAGATGGCCAAAATATGTTTCAAAAATGCACTTTGTAAAATGGGTTTTCCTTCATATTGTCCAGGAGATTTGGTGACTCATACGAGAGACCAGGAGATTTGGTCTGTATCCAGGAGCGTTGGCACACACGAGATTGTAAGTGAGAAAACTACCAAAACACGCTTGTAAGAATAGGTACTTTATCTCTCATTCTGCTCTCATTTTCTCTTCACTCAATATTTGCATTTTTTTTTTACATACATTTACCTTCCCACAAACTGTGTAACTAAAAAGAACACTATTTAAATAACATCTGCCCCCATTGGGAACAGAGTTCACAATTGAAAATGTATTTATATTGATATCACTGGCTGGCAAGACTTACATGCACATGTAACTGACACAGTATAAATCGTATGATTTCAAGTAAGGCTAAATCATTTCTTATGAAATTAAATGCTTAGACGTCACTCATTTAAACTAAGGACTGAGTCATTTAGAAGCCACCAGACAAATGGGAACCGTACATACATGTCAAATATATAAGCTTATGTGGTTTGGAGTGCATTTAACAACAATATAAGTTTAAATATATTTTTTCAGATTTTTCAACAAGTTTACCTTAATTTATTTCATGATAAATTTTGTGAGCAGTGCTAAATTACAGAGAAATCTAAATCAAGCTTTGCTTAAACGTTAAACGAGTTATGTAGAAGTCTTGTATACATGTAGATAGTAAAACCCTCACCTGCCCATTCGCAAGGGCTTGCGAAGTCTCTCGGGTATCGCCCGTAAACGCTAAATGAAATAAAAAATTAAAATAAAAAAATAACCAAGATGTTTCTCGATCTCATGACCTCTCATGTATACACAATAAATAAATGCATGTAGTTTATTTATTAAATGAAACGTTGCTTGAAGACTTGTTCGTGAACAAACGTCCATCTAACTCTTTTATACTGAAACTCGCTCAAAATCGAAGAACGGCAATATAAGTTTATATGTAAATGTTACCTTCGATCGATCAAACTCGAAGCTTTGTTACCGGTAAACACAAGATTTGTATTTGTTCAAATATTTTTTTTAACTCCATGAAAATTGCCGCAGTTACTTCGGTGCTTTCTACATCAGGCCAAAACACAGTGTAACTGGGTTAGGACGTAATGCAGTTTTCTTCATCACACGACACCTGCCGTGATATCGACATCCATTTTACGCTCGAAATCCAAGTCCAAGACTTTCTGGGGAAAGAAATCTTGTCCATGAACTTATGATTAAACATCACACATTTCATTTGACGTACCAGCCTCGTGCAGATTTGGCACGGTTCGTAAAGGGACTCCGTTTTTACAGATCATCCTCTGGCACTCTCTGTGTAACTGGAATGCAAATATAAAATATGACCACCAAAACAACACATGTCGCTCAGCTAAATGTCAATATGTCCGCCATATTGAAATGTAAATAAGATTACCTTCGGCTCCAGTCCTACGCCTGTGACTCTTCTTCTCATCTTGATCCCTTGCAGAACACTAAACGGCACAAAACTCTCTAAAAAGCACAACAGCTGCTCACTGGAAACTCTCAAAAATTCTCTAGATTTCGATAAACGTCCGCGCAACTTAAATTCGTACGCGCAATAAATGTACGCGTAACTTAAAATCAAAATGTTTCCGTGCGCGCGAGGAGCCGTGGACACGCTAAAGCACTTTATTATATGGCAAGCTCCGCGAGCGGGCAAGAT